TCATGTTATTTTTTATCTATTCAAATTTGTATTTATTTGTTCAAATTATTTTTTTATCTGTTCAATTTTTTTTTCTCTGAATTCTATTTGTCACTTTTTTTATGTCTTCAAATCTATGCTATTGAAATACACCAACGCACTATCTGTTTAAATTTTGAACAGATCTCTTCAATAATATTGTAGACGTCCCATTTTAACTGACCTTAATATTTGGGCTCATTTTCTTTAAGTACCCAATAATAAAAGACCGGAATACACAAATCCTTCAATCACTTCAACAAAGAGCTTTATCTAAAAGTCGATTGCAACCTTTTCACCCATTTTGGCCAAATGTTTTCAGACCTTTAAAAAAGCCTTTTCCAAAATATTTTACTTTAGCCATGCATAAATCTAATCATTTTTATAATGTTCGACCTCATCTTTCAAAATCAAAATGATGTGACTTTCGGTAACCTAGCAAGAACAAAGTAAGAATGAGTGGAAGGGAAGAGAATCTTTTTAGAAAATTTTTAAATATTTAATTACTTTTTAAAAAAAATTAAATCCACTTAATCTAGATATACTTCAAAAGTAAAATATTTATAAAGATTTTTATTACAAAATTCAATATATTAAAAAAAAATAAAAACATACTGAATTTTTATATATTTTATATTTAGTAAATTCTTATTTAATAAAATCACAAATTTGTATTTGTTCTCTTTGTTGAAATATCAAGTCAAATCAAATCCTATCTGTCCAAACAGATCTGTTCAACAGCAGCAAAAAAATTCTCTTCAAATTTTATCTGTTGAAATTTATACATATCATAATTTGAGAGAGGGAAACAGATCAAGGCCAAAAATTTTATCTGTTAAAATATCAAGCCAAAATTATTTGTTCTATTTTATTATCTATTCAAATGTTGAACATATCTGTTCAAATTTTGAACAATTTTGATGAAGAAGAAGAAAGCATTCTGCATAAAAAAGAAGTTAAGTGAGGCAAACAGATTCAAGACATTAGCTGGGTAATAGAAACAACACAGACAACAACAAAAGAAGAAAAAGAAAAAGAAAACAAGAAAATAGAGTGAGTGTTCTGAAAAAAAAAAAAAAAATTCTAATTGAAGACTTTCGCCGGTATAATCTGGCTGCAATATAAATTCAGAATTTCACTCATTAAATGTGACAATAGCGGATTACGGCCTATTTTGGGGAACAAGATTAAAAACCCTTTTTTTTTTTTTTTTGAGTCGTATTACCTCTCTACTACGGTTATGTGAAGCGATTTGCCAAATCGGGATGATGATGATGGTTTTGTATATTACAATGGATCGCCGCCTAGGGTTTCGCGAAATCGACATTGTTGTTGCCCTGTTGTCCTATATATATATATATATATATATGTATATATAAGGACAAACAGCATTTCAAATTAGTATGTCTATGTTTGAGAGTCAATCCTCATCCTCGTCTGGACAAGAATTTACATACTTCAAGCTAAGCTTTGTTGTCTCAAATCATAGGCAACATTTACTTCATTTGGATCCAGATCCAGATCACTTCATTTCACTTGATATGAATCCAGATCACAATTACAATTCAATATATATGTATTATATAGTAACATTCTATATCCTAATACAATCACAAATAAACTCCCTTCATTTACAAACATAACAAATCAACAAGCAGTTCTACCTACCATTTCAGGAACACAAGTCTTCAGAGCATCGTAGGCTGACACGTGGCCTCCACCTTTGGTGAATTTGGACCAAGGACGGTGGATCTACAGATTTTGGCGTCGGATCGCTAACGACGATGACGAAGGCAACGGTGCAAGGAGGAAGAAGAGAGAGAGAGAGAGAGAGAGTCCAGATCGGCAGACGGAGGTATATTCCAAAAAGTTATTAAGAAGAAAAAGATCCTAAAATATTTTTAGTTATTATGATAGCCCATAAAAAAAATATATCTAAATTTAAAAGGTCTCCATAAAATTTGATGAAGATTTAAAATTAATAAATGATTAATATGATAAATTATTTAAAATTAATAGATGATTCTTTTTATTCCAAAAAGTTTGAAAAGTCTATTGATTTGATGAATTATTTGAAATTAATAAATGATCATTTCTCAAATTTATGGACTGCGTTTAGAATACGATTAATTATGTTAGTCACAATTGTTTCTGGAGAAAAAAAAATCAAATTTAAAATTGAATAAATTTTACCTATGTCACAACAAAGATTGAATGGATTAGTAATTTTATCCATTGAAAAATATTTACTTGATAAGTTGAATTATGCAATTTTGATTAGCAATTTTGCAATTAAAAATGAGAGAATTGTGATGTTTAAGTGATATTTTGTTACAAATTGTTTACATTTTATTTAGTACTTTTGTTAAGATTATTTTGGTTGTTTTTCTTATTGTAAACTTTGTTATATATTTAATAAACTTTATGTAAAAATAAAAATAAAAAATTACGATAATATTTTGATTACAATTTTTTTTTTTTAACGTATAAAGTATATTATCAAGAGTTCGCATTGGGCCTAAAAATGTCAGAGTTGACCTAATTATAAGTAATACCTATTCCTAATGTAAAGTCACATAGGGAGGAATCCCGAGTCCAGATCCTCTGCCGTAGTTTCCTGCGGTGGTTCAAAACAATGTCGTTTTGAACCACTTTTTTTTTTCCTTTCGTTTTCTCTCACTTTTTATATTTTGTTCTTCAGCCTCTTTTTATGGTCTGGTGTTTGAACCCTAGTGAGACGAACAGAGAGGCAACTACAGCGAGGAGATGAGAAGCGAGGCAGCGGTGAGACGAGGGGAAGCGGCAGGAGACGGATAAAGAGGGTGAGACGATGGCAACAAGGTCCGTTTTTTGTGGAAATAGATTTGTGTTTAATCTGTTCAATTTTTTCCCAATTTTTTTTGTGTTTAATCTGTTGATTTGGTGCTTCATCTTTTCTAGTTAGAGTAATGACATTAATCTGGGGAAACAGATTTGTGTTTAATCTCTTGAATTTTTTCCCAATTTTTTGTGTGTTTAATCTGTTGATTTGGTGCTTCATCTTTTTTAGTTGGAATAAACAGCAGCTAATCTGGGGAAACAGATTTGTGTTTAATATGTTCAATTTTTTTGCAATTTTTTTTTTTTTTTTTTTGTGTTTAATCTGTTGATTTGGTGCTTCATCTTTTTCAGTTGGAATAATGACATTAATCTGGGGAAACAAAATGACATTAATCTGGAATAATGGCATTAATATGTTGATTAGGTGCTTCATCTTTTTTAGAGTTCCTGACCCATAAATATAGAGTTCTAATATAAGGGGAAGTGAAAACAAAAGGTAATGAAATGTTAATCTGTTGATTTGGTGCTTCATGTTTTTTAGAGTTCCTGACCCAAAAATATGTTGATTCTCTATGTTAAGAAATGTTAATGAAATGTTAAAAATGAGAATCAACAAAAGGTAATGAAATGAAATGTTAAGAATAAACATGAGGTATTAAGAATGAACATGAACATAAAGAATGTTAAGAATGAGGCATTAAGAATGAACATGAACAGGAGGCATTAAGAATGTTAACAATGAGGCATTAAGAATGAACATGAACAAGAACATGAATGCTCTTTTTCATATTAGGAACATGAAGAATGTTAAAAATGAATCAGGCATTAAGAATGAACATGAACATGAGGCATTAAGAATGTTAAGAATGAACATGAACATGAACATGAAAATGACAATGGTTAGTAGACAAATCAAGTGATAAGTATGGACTAAACACTATTTGAATGTTTGAATGTATGGACTAAACAACCCGTTGATTATTGTTTTATTTTACATCATTGTGATGGACTGATTGTGTCATAAAATGCTCTTACTAGGATCATGTCAATGGGTTCAAACATTAATGTTGGATATTTGCAAAATATAAGATGCAATTGTGGAAAAAAAGCTGCAGTGTTCATATTAGAATTTGAGAAAAATCCAAGGAGGCTGTATTTCAAGTGTGCAGATAGGATGTACAAGCACTTTGCGTGGCTCCAACTGGGAATGCATCAAATATCCAAAGGAGAAGTAAAGCTAGTCATATGAAGAATGAAGATGAGAAAGGCTATGATTATGATTTTGACAAAATCAATGAAATTATTAATAGATTGGAACGAGTTGAGGAAAACCAAGAAGCTCTGAAACTGATTATGTTGACAACCATAGTGTTGGTTGGTTTTACCATGCTAATAGCACTACTGAAGTGAATGTAATCTTTTAGTTATTTATTTTTTTCTTTTTTTTTTTTTGGTGGTTGTATTTGGGTTTTGAATTTAGTAAACTTTAAACTATGAGTTTTGATATGTAAAACTTAATGAAATTACCTATGCTTGACGAATGTGATGCGCTTCTTTTTTGTTTCTATCAAAGAAGTTGTTTTCTTATTCAATCTTTTCATTCATTATTTTATATTGTTATTGTTGGTCATACTTGTTCTTATCAAGATTTGTTCTGCACCTGTGAAATGAATCTACGCCCTCTGTTGTTTGCAATACAAATGGGATTTGGTAGTTCATTTGTACAAAACAAAGAGAATAATCTGTCCAAAACAAAAATAATCTATCCAAAACAAGTAATCTGTCCAGAAACAAGAAATATATCCAAAAATAATCTGTCCAAAAATAAATTAGTATAAAAATTTGTACAAAACAAAATAAATTTGTCCACAACATAATAAATCTGTCCAACACAAAATAAACCAAACTAAATCTATGCAATACAAAATAAATCAGACCAAATCTGTCCAAAACAAAAAAAAAAATATGTCCAAAACAAAATAAATCTGTCCACAACATAATAAATATGTCCAACACAAAATAAACCAAATCAAATCTGTCCAACACAAAATACATCAGACCAAATCTGTCCAAAACAAAAGAAATCTGTCCAAAGCTATCCAGAACAAAATAAATCTGTCCAATACAAAATAAACCAAACCAAATTTGTCCAACACAAAATAAATCAGACCAAATCTATCCAAAACAAATGAAATCTGTCCAAATCTGTCCAGAACAAAATAAATCTGTCCACAACATAATAAATCTGTCCAACACAAAATAAACCAAACCAAACCAAATCTGTCCAACACAAAAAACATTTGTCCAAAACAAATGAAGATAAAATAAACTTCTCAAGGATGTCCATCTACATGACTGTCAGCAAGACTATGTGACGCTTGCGAGACTTGGACTTGTACCTCGAAACAACTCCTGAAAAGATCTATGAGTGGGATACACAGAAGGCATTGACTGAGGCATGTTATTTCCCTGCAATAGACCAAACCATCTATTAAACTTTGATTACAATGTATACTACATTTTTAATGTAAACTATGTAATCAATGATAACTCACATCATATGTACCATACATAAGAGGAAGACCACTTGTACCACCCATGTGAACTTGAGGTCTAGGTTGAGATTGAGAAATGTACACATCATGACGATGATCCTAAATACAGCCAATATAAAGTATGTAACAAAAAATTTTGAAAAACAAAAGAAACATTATTGAACATTAATATTGCCTGATTATAATTACTACCCATGACGAAATGAGGTTATGATTGAGAAATATAGACACCAACACCATGATCCTAAATACAATCAATATAAAGTATGTAAAGAAAAAAATTAAAAAAAGAAAATAAAAAAGAAACAATATTTAACATTTTCTTAAAAATTTGCACACAAATAAATATTATCGATTAGAATTACTACCCATGATGAAATGAGATTGTGACTGACCTTGGGAAGTATAAATAGCAGCACCTGACTGCATTGCCAAGCAAACCAATTAAAGATAACAAAAAATTAAATGCCAAGTTCATCACGTCATACTAGTGAACAGACTCAATGAAAGGAATTCATAAAACTAACCATAAAAAGACCACATTACTATTACATATTACCTGAATAGAATTACTGCCCATGACGAAATGAGGTTGTGATTCACCTTGGGAAGTATAAACAATAGCATCCAACTACATTGCCAAGCAAACCAATTAAAGATAATAAAAATTAAATGCCATCTGGATAGTTCATTATATGATAATAGTGAACGGACTGAACGAAATGAATTCATAAAACTAACCATATAAAGACCACATTACTATTACATATTACCTGAATAGAATTACTACGCATGACAAAATGAGGTTGTGATTCAACTTGGGAAGTATAAACAGTAGCACCTGACTACATTGCCAAGCAAACAAATTAAAGATAACAAAAATTAAATGTCATCTGCATAGTTCATTATTTGATAAAAATGAACGGACTTAATAAAAGGAATTCATAAAACTAACCATATAAAGACCACATTACTATTAAATATTACCTGAATATAATTATTACCCATGCCGAAAGGAGGCTGAGATTCACATTGGGAAGTATAATCAGCGGCACCCTACAAACAACGAAAAACCATAATGAAAGTGGGTCATTAATAAAAAAAAACATAATCATTGTTTTAGTTTATTAATCTAGTGTATTTTAATCATATGCAATTTTTCATGTCCAAACCTAAATAGATTGCATTCTTTTCTTCTTTGCAATAGATTTTTCCATCCCGCCTTTGATCCTCCTTCTTCCCTTATTAGTTGATTCTCTTTTCTTCAATCCCTTAGCTTGGATTGGACAATCTACTTCATCACTCTGTGAGCATGTGTTGCTTAACGAATTTCTCAAATCAGTTACCTCCACTTGACCACAAATAGGGACACTTAAATTTGTCTTCAACCATTACACTCAATTCTTTACCTTTTGAAACTAACAACTGATAAGTTTCTTCACTTTCAGCAGCTCTACTCGCTATTGCTCTAAACATGGTCATTAATGATCGATATCTGTCACTTTGATGTAGTTTCACATCAGCCTTCACTTCATACCCACGTCTATCTTTCACACTTTCAGCCCTTGCTTTTTTAGTCCATCATTTGAGTATATATTATGGAGGAAGTCCATTGCATTGAATATATCTATAAGCACCTTCACACAATGTTGACATAGTATGCCCTTCACTTAAACTTCTTGCAACTACAACTCAAAGAACCACCTCTATCCATTGTCACAATCTTATCTTTTTCTCCATCTACCATTGTTCTTATTGTGAATATAGTACTCTCACCATCATTAATAGTGCCTATAATTGATGCTTCAATGGACTGCGCGTACTTATTTTGGAATTCCTCAAAAATTGTTTTCGTGTAAATCTCTGCCATTTGCTTTAACATCAAAGTTGGAATTGAAACCCTTGGCAATTTTTGGGACAAATTATACTCCGCTTCCAATTCCTTATACCTCTTCTCATAAAGCACCCTCTCAAAATGCATGAAGAACTCCATCAAATTATGGTCACAATTCAAATAATCCTTCAAAAATGCATTGAAGGATTCACTAAGTTGATTAGTACTCATTCCAGCTACCCAAGAATTCATAATATATGGTCATCCCCATTTCTCCTTCACACGAAAAGTCTACTCCAACCAATGATTGTCGCATGCATCATACCTATCAAGCATTTGGTCCCGCTGTATTCCGAATTCTTCTTCATCATCAATGTCATGCATAAATTTTGAAAACACGGCCTTGACCCCTACATCATCGAAAACAGAACTTACATGTTTGACAGCATTTTGCATCAAATGCCATGTACAAAGTCGGTGGTTTGTATCGGGCATGACAATTGGAATGGTCTTAGCCATCGCAACATCTTGATCTATAACAATAGTTTTCAGAGCTTTGTTTGACATTGCCTCCAGAAAAATTTGAAACAACCATGTAAAAGATTCAGCAGTCTCATCATACATCAACGCTGCACCGAATAGAACTGTTTCTCGATGATGATTAAATCCAACAAATGATCCAAAAGGTCTATGCTCGTTATTTAATTTGTAAGTAGTGTCAAATATCACTACATCACCAAACTGAGCATAGTCCATGATCATTTGAGCATCGGCCCAAAATATATTACTTATCTGCTCTTCACAATCTAATTGGACTGCATAAAAAAAAGATGGATTTTTCACAGTTTTCTTACGAAAGTAATGCAACACACTACCCGCTTCTCCATATTCCAAATCTTTTTGTCTCTTCGATCTTAGGTAATTTTTTTTGGTCCAATTTGGTGAAACCAAGTGATGCTCTTCTACCAGATTCCCTACCAAATAAATCATAAGCAGACCTAAGAGGAATTCCATATTCTGAAGCTAGTTCTACTTCAATTGCTTAGGTGGTAGATGTTTTTCTTTGGGATGGCAATATATGAATGCAATCTTGAGCCACAAGATCATGATTATGATGTTCAACAAAATCACAAGCAATATATTTTCTTGAAATTCTATCTAACTTGACACTAAATCGGGCACCACAACCACATCTTGCCTCTTGTCTCGGATTTAAAAGTCATATGTGGCTTGTTCAGAGTCAAATGGCATTCTCGCTTTCGTCTTCCAACCACAATCATCAACAATATTATTTTCTTCCATTACCTACAATTCATATATATAAACTACATTTATACTTAATTGCAGGTTCTGGGAGTCAATTGCACAAATCTGAATCATATATATATATATATATATATATATATAATGGAAGCAAATTATATGAATCCACAAATAAATGTATGAACCAAAAAATAATATTTATAAGTAAATGTGATTAACTATCTAACAACAAATCTGAATCCACTAGAACAGATCAATGTAATTTATAGAATATAAAATTTCATATGAAAAAATCTGACTTATATATATATATATATAACATAAAATTTACCTACTTCAGTGAGTGAACCCATTTCATATGAAAAAAATCCGAATTAATTGATTTTAGAAAAATCTAAATCATAGGTTAAAATCTGAATTAATTGATTTCATATAGATTAAGTGAAATGGGTTAAATAAATCAACATATATGGGTTAAGTGACTGAACCAAACAATCTATGAATCAAGAACAAATTAATTGATTTCAAAAAAATCTGAATTAAGGGTTAAAATCTGAATCAAATAGATTAAAATCTGAATTAATTGATTTCATATAGATTAAGTGAAATGGGTTAAATAAATCAACATATATGGGTTAAGTGACTGAACCAAACAATCTATGAATCAAGAACAGATTAATTGATTTCAAAAAAATATGAATCAAGGGTTAAAATCTGAATCAAATAGATTAAAATCTGAATTAATTGATTTCATATAGATTAAGTGAAATGGGTTAAATAAATCAACATATATGGGTTAAGTGACTGAACCAAACAATCTATGAATCAAGAACAGATTAATTGATTTCAAAAAAATATGAATCAAGGGTTAAAATCTGAATCAAATAGATTAAAATCTGAATTAATTGATTTCATATAGATTAAGTGAAATGGGTTAAATAAACCATCTATGAATCAATAACAACCCATCTATGAATCCCCAACAGATTAAGTGACTAAACCAAACCAAAATCAATAACAAATCTATACATATCTATTTATACATATATATATATAACACCAAATCTATACATATATACATATATATATATATATATATAACAGCAAGATGATGAAATAGACCTCGTCGTCGCTGCAATGTTGCCTTCCCGCCATCGCATCGCTGCTGAACTCACCGTCGCCTGCGATCCTTTGCTCGCCATCGCACTGCTCCTCCATCTCCGCTATCTCTTTTGTCTCTCAGTTCCTCTCTCAGTTTGCGTTCATTCTCTTTCAGTTCCTCACTCCGACTTTCAATCGCCTCTTACGATGCCTCTCTCTCTCTCTCTCTCTGTGCTAGGGTTCACTGACTCAAATCGATGGTGCAAAGTGAAGAAGACGATATAGACAAGAGAAAATGGGGAAATGAGGAAAATGAAATTTTTGAATTAAAAAAATTAAAAAAAAAAACACTAAATAAAACGACGTTGTTTTGGAGACCACCGCAGGAAACCATGGCAGATGATCTGGAGTCAGGAATCCCAACTATTTTGAACCCGCTTTGCCATTTTCAAGTGAAATTTCCCTTAAAGACTAAGATATACCATAAAGGCTTGATATCAAAATTGACAATATTGCATTTTATGAGAGGACGGTTTGGTGTTCTATAATCATACGCTTGGCATTTTCTCTTGCTATGTTTATTGAAACCAGAGCCCTATTACATAATTGGTTTTTGATGACACAAGTTTCTAATGTAGCAGAATACACTGAAATTAGATAGATATTGTAAATGAAAGGGGTTCTCGAATTTACAAAAAAATACAACCTTAAATCCACAAGTAAAAAAAATAAATGAATATTACTGAATAAAATTTGTCTATTTTGAACCTGCTTTCTTAATTTTATATTTCTTGGATACCAAACAATCTTGGACACCAAGAAATATAAAACTAGAAAACAATTAATTAGTTTAATTCTTTGTGGAGAAGTGGTTTGGAAATACTCCAGTATCTAGTTAGATGTCCTTGATCCCCTGATTGCTACCTGAAAAAGGGATGAACACTCTGGTCGAGGGTACCAGAATTAGCACTTCGACGGACAAGTTAGTATGCTCTCAGGTTTACTTCTATCTCAGGTTATTTTATCTATTCTCACATACCTTTCTTTTGTCGATGTTCCTCTTTTTATATTACCATTTGGGCCCATGGATCGGACCCACCTTTAATCGTGCACTTGATGGCTTACTCAGCCTTTTGATTGCGTGCTGGTTCCTATTCGGCTATTTATACGGCCGACTATACTCTATCTTAGATTTTAGCCGAATCAACTCAGGCCGGATGTCTTCAAATTCTTTGGCCTTCCTCAACACATCATTATTCGGCCCCCACAATTGCCCCCCCAACATCCGTCTAGCGCCAATTATTCGGCATGTTTGGTTGTAATATGTGGAAAATAAAAAATACGGCGCTTGCACTCCTTCCAATACCGAAGCGTCAGAATGACCACGGTTTAGAAATCATTACAATTTCTCACTCCTTCGTATACGTTGTTAATTTAATGTGATATGAAGTCGCGCTGTCCCTTCGGATATTTTTTAAATTTGCAAAGCTCCATCAAATTCACCTCTGCAACTTCACGACCTCTGCAACTTCCACCTACTCCCCATTGTCCTTTTCTCTCTGCCCTGTAAGTTCTTCTCTTCCTTGCATTTCTTCCTCATTCCAACTCCCATTTTCTTGTTTGTTTTTAGTTTAGAGTATTTTCCATTCTGATTTGAATGGTGAAACATTTGAAAGATCTTCTTTCTAAGGACCGTATCTCCGTTTTTCAACGCCATTTTTCCATTCTAGATGACGTTCATCTGGCAGATAGCATACTCAACATGGAGAGGACCAATAAGAGTACGATCATCTTTTCTCTCCTGTCAATCGCTGAAGGTGTAGCCTATTTCCCCCTTCACCCATTTTTGAGGGTCGTTCTTCGTTACTGGGGTCTACTCCCTTTACAACCAAATGAAAACTTTTACCGAATCACAATGGGAATAGTAGAACTAAACCGCCGACTTAGGATTAATCTAGGTATCCCTGCTATTCGGCATTGTTATGCCTTGGCGAAATCATTTGGTCGGTAGGGACGCTACTTTCTCAGGGCCAAGGACACTAATCACCATCTGGTAACTATGCTTGCTAGTTCTAGTAAGTGTGTTGACGATGTAATGGTCGTTATCCGAGGCAACTGAGAATTCGGCGAAGGTGAAGATCGCCTAGATTCTGTGCCTAGACAAAAAGGCGAACCAGGTGGCCGTATAGTCCCATTTCTATGCGCATTTGTTATAAATTTATTTGGCTTAAACTGCATACTTACTGTTTCATTTGTACAGGTAACGATTTGGAAAAAGTCCTTGTCTCGACCGAAGATGCTGTGCTTTAACAAGTCAAAACTGCGCTCCAATTCTTCAGCCGTCCAAACCTCCAAAAGCAAGGGAGGATTGCTCATATCTTATTGCGGTACGAGCCGACGTACGTTACTTTTTCGGCCGCTAATCACATCCCGATTCCAAAGGGAGAGCAGTAGCTCACGGCACTCATTTTCCCAAATTTCAAGAACCTTAGAGAGATTGGTCTTGAAGTTTCGAATTCAGAACAAGTCGCCGAGTAGGTCGCCAAACAAGTCGTTGAACAGCCGGATCAATCCAACTTGGACAAATCTGACAGTCTAGGGAAGGAAGTTGACGGGACTCTTAATTTGGCATTTGAGGAAGCTAGCTTCAACTTTCCGTCCGCTTCAGGCCGAGTCGACGTGTCATTTGAAGACGATATTTTCACCAGCTTAGGAGATCTTCTCGGCACAGATCCTGAGAACATAGCAGGGGAGTCACTCGTGCAAATAGTCAGAAGAAAGAATACCGAGAAAATGGTAGCCCGAAGGAGGGTCGAAGCCGCCAGGTCTGAACCCCCACCTGTTGTGGCTGAGTCTTTGCCGCCTGCTCTTGCTAAAGAAATGGAGCAGACTATCATAGTCGAAACGGGGCAAATTATCATTGATCAGTCGAAAAATCTCGTGGCCGAATAGAGGGGGAAAAAACGCCTCGCTGAGCATGAAGACTCTTCAGAAAACCAGACTGATAACCGGCTGCGTGTAGAAGAGTCAGACTTGGCTGCGTCGTTTATCATACAACCAAACATAAAGAACATGCCGGCTGCTTCAGATGCTTCGGCTTTGAAGGACGACGCCATGGCCTTAAGCCTGGCCTCGTCGATTTCTCTGCTAATTGACAAAGCAGTGTTCCATGCAGAGCCAAATGTAGTATCAATAGCATTAGCCGCTCAATTGGCGATTTTGGTACGTAACTTGGAAAAAATATTTCGTTCCTTTTTTTATGCCAGCTATCTTATTAATCCTTTGTTTATAGGCGGTAAGCAGGACCGCAAAAATAGGCCGTCGTCATTACATTGAGCAAATCAGCTTGCTTAAATCCGAACTTGAAGCTGAAAGGGGCAAGCCTGAAGAGG